TTAATACCAAAGTCAGATAAGACAGCCAATAAAGAAAAATGAGACGTGAGTCTATTCATAAACAGACACGAAAATCTAAATAAAACATGAGCAAACTCAATTCAGTAATTCATTTAAAAAAAACTATAAAGACCATTCTTATCTCAAGAAAGAATGAAAAAGAAAACAAAGAGTTTTAAATCTGTAAAATGGAATTCATTACATTTAACAGATTAAAGGAGAAAAGACACAAGATATTCTCAACAAATGTATTCCCTAACTTAATCAAAGGTATCTACAAAAATTAATAGCAAATGTTATTCTCAGCAGAGAAATATTCTCTTTAAAATTGAGAGCAAGACCTCTAGGCCCACTATAATCACTTTTAATGAATAAACCTAATCACTTCCATTGAACATAACTAGCTTAAAAGCAAAAATAACTAGAATTGATGAACCACAACTGTCAGTATTTGCAAATGATATAATTATCCACATAGAAAATCCAAAGGGATTTCAGAAAAAATATTAGAAGTAGTAAGTTTATCAAGTGGATAACTAAAGGTCAATATTTTTTAAATTTCATTAAATTTCTATTTACTAACAATAAATAAGTTAAAACAAAATCTTTAAGAATATCACCATTTATAACAGCAACAAAAACAATAACATCAGACTTAACACATAAAAAGTAGGAGATTTCTACGGAGAAAACTATAAAACTATACTAAAACCTTACATAAATAGAGATACATACCATATTCTTAGATAAAGACGATCAAAATCTTAAAGATTTCTATTCTCCCTCAAACTGATTCAATTAATTGTAACAATCGGATTCTTAAGAACAAATGACCAAAAACAGCTGAGATTGATGTCCTCCTCAGATACCAAGATTTCAAGTAAAACTATAATATTAATAATTAACACAGTGTGGTATGAACACAGCGACAGACAAGGTGACAAGTGACACAGACAGGCCAGAAACAGACCCATGCAGGTAGTAACTAACCATGTAAAAGAGATAGCATAGCAGATCAGCGGTGAACAGAGGCCAATTCAATACACTGAACCACACAGGAGAAAAAAAATGAATGTGGATCACTATCTCACAAACTACACAAAAATCAATGCCCAATGAATTATGAACTTAAATGTGAAAGACATCATTTTAAAACTTCTAAAAAGAAACAGAGGAATGTCTTTATAAGCCCAGGGCAAGAAAGGTTCCAGTTAGATTATGATAAAATTAAGAACTTCTGTTCTCCAAATATACCGTGAAGAGTGAAAAGACAGGCCACAAACCAGAAGATATTTACAATGCACATAAGCAATGTTACCAGTTTATCAATTTTAAAAGAGAACCCATCAGAACAAAGAGTAAAAATATGACCAGGTATTTCATAAAAAGGAAACAAAGATGGTTCATAAACATACAAAAGATGCTCAACCTCATTAATAACAAAAAATCCAAATTAAAACCACAAGGATGCATCATTTCATACCCATTCCATTGGTAAATATTAAGTCTGACAATAAGAAGTGTGGAGAGGTTGTAGAGCAACTGTAACTCTTACACACTGTTGATCAAAGCATATAAACAGACAAAAGTGCTGGCCAAAGTACAAACTGTTAACAACCACTTCAGAAAGCAATCTGACAATATTTTGTAAAGCTGGTCATTCATACTCCTGACCTAGCCATCCCACTGTTAGCAAACAGCTTACCATGGTAATATGCCGGTACTTCTTTCCTCTTTTCTTCCCCCCACTGAACAAATTCACATGGTGGTATTCAATCTTTTTTTTTTTTTCTTGCCCACAAACCAGCAAAAGTGCTTTGTTAAAATTATATACCCTTTACCTATTAAGATGAAATCTAAAAACTATCACCATAAGTTTAAATAATTGCAAAGAGTGAACTTCTAGAATATCACAGTAACATTTTAGAGTTACGTGATATTCACATCATATAACAAGCTGATTCTTGTTATCTCATTATTTTAAATGTATATTATACATTATTTTAAATGTCTATTATAATTATTACTAGCATATGGTTGGTCAAAAAATATACCCTGATAACATAAAAAATGAAACTTTATTGGAAATGTAACTCTTGAGTAAACGGATGGGGAAGTGCCAGAATTAAAAGAGGCTTTCCCTAACACCATAGCAGTATTTTAAATTATCCCTTTGTAGGCTGGGCACAGTGGCTCACACCTGTAATCCCAGCACTTTGGGAGCCGAGGTGGGTGCATCACCTGAGGGCAGGAGTTCAAGACCAGCCTGGCCAACATGGTGAAACCCCATCTCTACTAAAATACAAAAAATTAGCCAGGTGTGGTGGCGAGCCCCTGGAATCCCAGCTACTCAGGAGGCTGAGGCAGGAGAATTTCTTGAACCCAGGAGGCAGAGGTTGTAGTGAGCCGAGATCACCCCATTACACTCCAGCCTGGGCAAAAAGAGCAAAACTCCACTAAAAAAAAAATTATATATATATATATCTTTATTTTCCCACTTAGGGCAATGTCATAGTAAGATTCCACAAGGACCTATGGTTTGCCTTTCTTAGGTAAAGTGCAATGTTAGAAACATAAGGTGAGAAAGTAGCACCAGCAGGAGGCCTCAGGCATTACCAATTTTAGGAAAGAGTATCTATGGAATGTAATGATCTAGAAATTGATTTATTAACATCATTTGCACCCACAAACTCCTTAGCAAATTTTCATTACTCTTCTGGGGGGTCATATACCGCAGTGTGAAAATTAGAGAAATTCTTACAACTGTGAACCAAAAAGTATGTACAAGAATCTTCATAACAGCAAAACCTAGAAACGACCAAAATGTCCATCAACAGAAGAATGCATACACTGTGTTATATTCACACATGGAATATTACACAGCAGTGAAAATCAATGACTTATATCTATACCCAATATTAGTGACTCAGAAACATAATATGAAGTGAAATAAGCAAGTCCCAGAAAACTATACCCAGTATGATTCTTTTTCCACTCAAAAAACAGAAACCATACAATACATTTTTGAAGGATATATACATATCTGATAAAATTATTTTTAAAAACAAGACATAATATACACAATTCAGAATAGTAGTCACCTCTGGAAGTAAACACATTCAATATTGGTCATTTTGATTCTTGGATTGAGTGGTAAATTCATAGGTGTTCATTTTATTGTTTTCCTATACAGCTTGAATATGTGTTACATATATTTTGAATTTATCAAATACTACAATAAAATGGAAAATAAATTTTTTAAACATTCATCATATGAAAAAATATACTTTTAATTAAATCACCTCACCTGCCACTAAAGAGGTACATATTTAACATATCATGGAAATTCTATCTATACATCAACCATAGGAACTGACATACATTAGGTATACATAAATATTCATTGGAATTAATCTTATGAGAACCAAAAGAGATAAAGACTAAGCCAATTAGCTGTGAGAGATAATTCCATAGGCTGACACAGGGCTACAAGATAAGCCAAAGTAGCTACAAGCAAATTTAGCAGCAAGCAAAAGTCATAAGGAAGCTGGTCAGGAAAGAGACGGCAAAAATGTTAAGTCTAATAACATAAAGTGTTAGCAGGATTGTGAGGAAATGATGTCCTCACTCAATACCAGTGACAGCGAAAATTGGTACAACCACTTTGAGAGCTTCTGTGACATTTGGTTAAGTTGAAGATGCACATGCCCTACAGTCCAGCCAATCTACTACTGAGGTGTATTTCCTATGGAAACTTCCAAATGTGTGCACAAGCAGACAAGTACAAAGATATTTATTGCAGGACTGTTTTTAAGAGTCAAAAACTGAACCAAGTTCAAGGTCTATCAACAGGGGAATGTATAAATAAATACGGTATATTCATACAATGCGATTCTACAGCAGCAATTAAAATGAATGAACCAAAGATAATATACTTATTCAATTTGTTCATATACGAATCTCAAAATATGATGCTGAGCAAAAAAAAAAAAAAAAAAAAAGCAAGTTGCACAAAGGCACGTATATTTTAATACCATTAAAGTTTAAAAACAAACAATAGTATAGTGTGTGGATTCACCGTGATCAAAGTATAAAATACGCAAAGGAAAGATATACACAAACCTGAACGCAGAGGCTATCTCTAGAAAAGGAGGGGGAGGAACTGAGAGCAATTTTCTTTCTTTAAAGAAAAACGAATATCTGAAGTAAATTTGGCAAAATATTAAATAATCACGTCTGTAAAATCTGAGTCATGGATTGGTTAGCTCCCCCCCCCGTATTTCATATTTGAAATATTCCAAAAATTAAAAGAAAAAAAGTAAAATTAGACAATAAGAAAATTGGGCAGAACAGACAGAAAGACAACAAAACGCAGCACTTGAGCGCAGAGCACGAAAGCTTGAGCAAACGCAGCAATAGCTGGGTCCCTAATGGGTTTGAAATTTCTTACCCTAGGTATCCTTACAATAATCCCATTTTCCTTAGGATAAATCGCAAATTACTTGCAACAAAAAAAAAATGTCCTAACTCGAGTCACAGTTACAGGGAAATGGCTCCCTCTGGAGGAGTAAAATCTGTAAAATTTCTACCTTGTTTCCCTCGCCATGATATTGGGCAAAACAGAAAGAGATTTAGGTGAATACCATAAAATACTCCATGAACCATTAGATATCATCAAGAACGCCCAAGGATGGCATAGCCCGGTAGGCGTGTGCATATATTTTGAAAGGCCTGTGCAACTGAGAGGCTTTTGGCGTCCAGGGCGCCTCTGGAAAAGGCATGACGCACTGGTACCAACCCAAATTCGCCTACGTCTCAGCTCCATTTTTTATCTTTGATCAGCTTATTCTGTCCTCTGAACAGGCCACACTGACAGCGTCAACACTGCGGAGCAGGGGGCCAGACTCGATCTTGTCCTCCCCCTGCCCGTTAGCGTCTGTCGGGGGAGGATACTCAAAGAGGCGCGGGGGCGAGGGGAGCGCCGGGGTTACCCCCCCCCCCGCGTCCGTTCCGTGGGAACAGGCCCTGAACTGGACTGCCAGTTCCCACGAAAACAGGTGGCAACAAAGTGGTGAACACACGCACACAGAGCAAGGGGTGCGCATGAACGTTCACGAACACGCACCAGCGAAACCTGCACACAAAAGATACGCACTCGACAGGACTAAACGCGCACACAAGAGATCACGCACTCGACAGGACCCATGCGCAGACACTCTGGGGACACTCGGGGACACGCACACTCGCGCAAGCGAGGCTCTAGGCGGGGGTCGCGATCGCAGGAGGCGCGGCCACGCGCGCTGGGGGACGCGCAGCCCACAGACCAGAGCAGTGACACAAAGGGGGGCCCCCCGCAGAGGCCGAGAGCGCCTACGCAGCCGCCAGGGAGCACGGACACCGACACAAAGGGGGCCACATGGCGACACGCGAGCGTGGGCCCCTGCACCCATAGGGGATGTCAGCCACGCACCGGCCGACGCACGGGCAGGGGAGATGCGCACAAAGGGAGTACTCCCACCCTCGCCCTGGCATCGCAGGGCCTCGCTCGCGAAGGGGGCACCAGACCAAGGGGAAAAACCCACTGGGGCAGGCAATGGCGGCCACACCCCCTCATCTCGCGGGACCCCAGCCCACGCAAACACAGCAGGCACGGCAGCGAGGGACGCGGGGCGACGCGCACACACCCACACTCACCACACACCCACAGAGGGGGTGTGGAAGACCCCGCTCCCCCGGCATCTCGGCTGCAGCAGGACAAGTTGACACATCCGGGAGCCCTGCCGCACGCTGGATGTGCACTCACCGGGGCCCGCCGCCCGCGAGCCTCGACGCTGGCCGGCGCCACCGCCGCAGCCGCCGCCGCCGCCGCCACCTCCGGCCCTCCAAGTCAGCTGACAGCTGGAGGGAGCGAGCGGAGGCGCTAAAGGCAGGCGCGTCACGTGGGCTAGCAGCGCGCAGGCGCAGTAGCGCTGCACCGCCCCCTCCTTCGTCGCCGCGAGCCAAACGGATCCCGCGGGCCCCCGCGCTCTCTGGCTCCTACCCGAGGAGGGTCGTCGTGCGCCTGCGCCAGGGTGGGAGCGCCGTCGCTAGGCCTTTCACTCAGTTTTTTGTCTTTCCGCCCCCACTGCGGCTACCAAGTCGGCGCCTGCGCAGAGATCTCAGCGCTGAGGCGGCAGAGGTGTCGGGCGGGGCCTGGGTGGGCGTATGAAAGACCCCAGGTCAAGGCCCCCGGTATATCCCAGCTCGAAAGAGAAACAGAAGCCCCCATGAGTGGACAGGGCCCGGGGCCTGGGTGCCGTGACCTAGTAGGCCCGCGTGCTCGTGGGCGCCGCGGGAGCGTTGTTCTCCGCTCTCCCCTCCCTTCCCGCGGGAAGGCCACGCTCGCAGAGCTGGAGCGCGCGTCTATTATCCCATTCCCCTCTCCCTGCCCTATCCCGCGCCGCCCCTTCTGCGGGGCACGCGCCGGCCTGGGTCCCTGTGTGCGCGCGAGGTGGGGGCGCGGGTTGCGGGCGGGCACCGTCCCCGCTGCGAAGCGCTGGGGCGAGATTGGCCCACTGGTGCGGAGGAGCACGTCGCTGACGGCTAACTGTGTTCCTTTTCCGCAGATTGTCTAAAGCCCTAGGAAAAATGGTGGAAAATTCACCGTCGCCATTGCCAGAAAGAGCGATTTATGGCTTTGTTCTTTTCTTAGGCTCCCAATTTGTCTTCAGTAAGTACTTTCCCGATGGATGGCCAGGGGCTTTTTCTGGCATTCAGTGACAAGGGAAGAATGCATTGGTTAGACTGTGCACACACCAACTGTTGATTCTTTCTCCCTATGTCTCTTTTTAAGAAAATCAGAAGGGAGCTCGTGTTTGTTGAGTGTTGTACGCCAGCACTAGCCTAGGTGGTTTTAGTCTCTACAAATATTTATACAGCACCAGACACGATGGCAGAGTGAATAAAGCCTGGTCCCTGCCCTGAAGGAGGTAGTGGTCTTGTGGAGGAGACGGATAAGTAAATCTACAGTTAATGCTCAGTGTGACGAGTGTCAGGGGAGCACAGCGGAGAGACATTGAAACCAGACTGGAAAGTCAAGGCTTTCATCCCCCCACCCCCACCCAGACACTGATGCTGAGTAGGAGGGAGGGGAGAAGTGGAAAGGCTGTGAGAGGATTTGGACATGAGGACCTTGATACGGCTCCAGTGTGCCCTGTGGGATCTGAGGAACAAGAGGTGTAGGCCAGAGAAGTTCGGTTGAAAGGTGGATTCTTTGCATCCTGCATCTCCCTTAATCCCCATAACTGTCCATTTAGGGATAAGGAGGGTGACGCTCACTGAGACACTAATATGCCCAGTCACACAAGTGAGTAAGCAAGCCCCAAGTCTCTCCCCAAAAGGATTTGGGAATTATGAGGCACGCAAGAGAGAGGAAATTGAGTGTCCCTGAGCCAACGTTCTGGAACTCTTTGGAAACCAGGAAAGTAGAAGAGGGGTAGTACTTCTGAACCCTAACTGAACTATGTCAGCCTGTACCATCGGTACAACTTGCCGACAATGAAATGGCCAGGCTGTTAGAACTGAAGTGAAAAAGTTACAGCTGAGTTCAAATTCTGACTCCACAGGTGAGCCATGTGAGCTGGCAGCCTCAGGTTCCCTACCTGTAAAAGGTAATGATAATTATGGTTCTTAAATGCTTATGACGCATGAAACAACCCTATGGGGGAGTTTCTGTTGTTATTGTCCTCACTTTAGAGATGAACATACTGGGTTTCAGTAATTTGCCCTAGGTTGCAAAGCTGCTAAATGATAAGCCTCTAAATTTGAACCCAAATACACTGGCTGACTTCACTCTGCTCCCTCTTCTGACTGTTGCTAGGATTAGCGGGTAATTTATGTAAAACGCGTAAAACAATGCCTAGAAACAGTTACGTGCTAATAAATGTTAGCTACTCATGTTATTGTTAGCACTTTTGTAAATCCTTGTTTAAAGAGAGTCTCAAAGATTAGAAGCTATATGAGTAAATAAAAGCAATCACTTTAAGACTTAAATTCTGGCCGGGTACAGTGGCTCACGCATGTAATCCCAGCACTTTGGGAGGCTGAGGCCGGCCGGTTACCTGAGGTCAGGAGTTCGAGACCATCCTGACCAACATGGAGAAACCCCGTCTCTACTAAAGTAGCAAAATTAGCCAGGTGTGCTGGCACGTGCCTGTAGTCCCGGCTATTTGGGAGGCTGAGACAGGAGAATTGCTTGAACCTGGGAGGTGGAGGTTGTGGTGAGCCGAGATCTCACCATTGCATTCCACCCTGGGCAACAAGAGTGAAACTTCATCTCAAAAAAAAAAAAAAAAAGACTTAAATTTCATGATATCCACAACCAAAAATTAACTCAAGTATTTATTGAGTGCTTACCATGTGCCAGGCACTGTTACAGGCCAGGAAGGACCAAAACAGTCCAAAATGCCCTGCTTTCATAGAGTCTTTATTCTAACGTTGTGGGGAGGTAGTCAATGGACGAATTAAATAAGAAAAACATACACAGTATCAGGTGCTCACATGTACTGTGGGGAGAAATTAAACAAGGGCAGGAGGACACTGAGTGGAAGGAGGTCCTTCTAATGTGCTTCTGTGTCATCTTTTGCTATTCATGAGCACTCATCACAATGTAGTGAAAATACCAATTTACTCTTGATTCACTACTAGACTTTGAGTTTAGGGAGCCCAGAAGCCACCTGTTTTTGATTCAGTATTGTGCCTCACACTCCTGACATACAGAATTCTGTAATACATATTTGTTAAGAAAAGAATGCATCATCACTGATGTAATAGGTAGGTAAAATTTTTCTCGGCCACTTACCTTGGGTAGGTGATGTATCCTTTCTAAGCTTCCATTTCCTCATCAGTTAAAATTGCATACTTGCCTCGGAGGATTGTCTTGGAGGATTATCTTAAATAATGTGTACAGAATACTTGGAACTGTGCTTAACCTACAGTGAGCTCTCAGAACTTAGCCGTTGTTATGGTGGGACAACAGTAATGGGTGCCACAGAGATTTGGGATTGAGGGAAATAAGATTGTACTCTGAGAGATAAGGCAGACACTCTACATGTGGTAGATTAGAACTGGGTAGGTAAATTTCTCTTTGAGCAACTAAATGTCTGTAGTTAACTTCAACCTTGTGGGGATGAAGTACTGAACACTTGCTGTACGTAAGGCAAATTGCTAGGTGATAAGGATTATAACAATTGCTGAGGCATGATTTGTATCCTTGAATTGCTTAAAATATAGAGTGAGAGTTAAGATGTTAAATGACTAATACAGTAATTATAAGAATTGTACAAACAAGGAGCTAGAAGAACTGAAAGGAGGGAAAAATGATTTCTGAGTGAATCAGGGACACTTCAAAGGAGCTTTTCTGTGTTATATGAATCTTAATAGATTAGATGTATCTCTTGCTGACTTCCTCTTTTTTATCTTTTTCTTTTCTGCAGTACTTTACCTCGTGTGGGCTTTTATTCCTGAATCTTGGCTAAACTCTTTAGGTTTAACCTATTGGCCTCAAAAGTAAGTTTAATATATTTCTTAAATGAGGATCTGATTAATGCTGTTTTGAAGAATCATATCCTTTCTTAAAACTACCCAAATCTTAAATATTCTCTTAAAATTCATGAATAGCCATATAGAAACTGAAAGCTTTTTTAAGATCGCTATTGATATATATCTAGTTAAAGATGGTGGCATGAACACACATTTATCTCCATCCATTTCCTTCAAAAATCTTGCTAAAATTCCCCTAAACCCACAGAAACAATAGGATGGCAGAAAAGAGATATCAACATTTTGGAAAGTGGATTGCGATAGGTGAGAGGTCTCTGTTTCTGCGTTTTTCACTTTGTTGAAGTAGGAGGCCAGCAAGAATATTTGTACCCTCGAACTCCCGAATAGCTCAGACATTAGAGTACTAGGTAGCTCTTTAATTCTGGGTTTTACTGAAAACATGTTTGAAGACCATGTGAAGGCTCTAGCCTTCAAATTTCCCTCCCTCAGCCCTCAAAGATGGGAGACCCACCCTGCCCTCCTCTGCAGAAAACAGGAGTTTTACTCTCTGGCAAGGTTGAGTCTCTAGCTTGGGGGCCACTTAGTCTGAGTTGGGAATGAGGCATCTTACTGAAAACGGGGGAGCAAGTGAAAATCTGCATGGCTCAATGTGAAGGTTTACCTCCTCCTCCATCTTCCCTCTCTGGGCTTCCAGGCTTATAATACCCTACTACACACAGAAAAAGACCCCAGTGAAGTGGCCAGGTCTCTTAGAGGGAGGCTCACCAGTTGACCATCCCTGCCCACATACACATAGTGCTTCCAACTCACTTGTTAGCACTTCATTTTTAAATATGAATGGACTACTCTAAGTTACCAGACATTAAAAGAAAGCCTCTAGCATGAAATGAAAAAGCAGAAAGGTAAAGGGAATTTGAAGGAAATAGAGATAATGCAGAAAACAGAAAAAAAAAAATTAACTTAAAATTCTCAAGAGGTAAGAGACTTATAACTATGAAACAAGAACAGAATGCCATGCAAAAGGAATGTTCAGGAAATTACTGTATTTGGAAATTGTAAACATTGTAGCCAAAATTAAAATTTTAATTGAAAGATTAGGAAATCAAACATAGGTAATCTCTAGAAATTAGAACAAAAAGGAAATGGAATATAGAAGAAAGTATAATGGTTAAAAATCTAACTATTAGAAGTTTCAGAAAGAGAAAATAATAGAGAACAAATCATTTCAAAAAATAATAATAATAAACCTGGGCAACATCTCAATACCCTGTTTCTACAGAAAAATTAAAAATTAGCCAGGCGTGGTGATGTGCACCTATAGTCCCAGCTACTTCCAGGGCTAAAGTGAGCTCGGGAGGTTGAGGCTACAGTGAACTGTGATCACACCATTGCACTCCAGCCTGGGTGACAGATGCTTTCTCTAAAACAAAAACAAAAACCACTCAATAAAAAATAGCACTTCGTGTACTTAATGATACTGAGAGAAATAATAGAATCTTAACAGAGAATTTGAGTCTCTGGTATTGATGGATACATGGGAAACCAAGTGAACAGACAAATGTAATTATTCAAGAAAAAACAAAACGTTGTACAAGAAAATATAGGCCGGGTACAACCATCTTGGCCAACATGATGAAACCTCATCTCTACTAAAAATATGAAAAAAAATTAGCTGGGTGTGGTGGCACATGCCTGTAGTCCCAGCTACTTGGGAGGCTAAAGCAGGAGAATCATTTGAACCCCGAAGGCAGAGGTTGCAGTGAGCCGAGATCGCGCCACTGCATTCCAGCCTGGGTAACAGAGCCAAGACTCTGTCTCAAAAAAAAAAAAAAAATATATATATATATATTATAATAATGCACTAAGATCCTCAGTTGCAAAATTATTTATATAATTAGCATTCTATTTCTAAAACCTGCTGCTATAGTGAGAAATTGTGGTGTAAGTATAGAAGAGGATAGGAGGACATTAATTTTTCATCTCCATATTAGGAAGCCTAGAGAAAATGTCTAATAGAAAAAAATGAAGAAACAGTAATGTAAGCATGTTATGTAGCAATGAGGAAGTAAGTACCAGAAGACAGTCCAGGGTTGGGATGGTGGATAGAGGACTGCAGCTTTTCATTATAAGCCTTGTGGAACTATTTGTCTCTTATGTGCATATATTTATAAAATTTAAATTTAAAAACTGTTGGCCTTGTGACTGACTCTTGAGAACTGCAACTTTTAAAAGTGTCTATTATGCACTTCAATATTCTCTTCTGCAGATACTGGGCAGTTGCATTACCTGTCTACCTCTTTATTGCTGTAGTAATTGGCTACGTCCTCTTGTTTGGAATTAACATGATGAGTACCTCTCCACTTGACTCCATTCATACAATCACAGGTAACTTTATATAAAAGGAAAGTGCTGGGGCAATGCAAGAGTGGAGTATTAGCACTTTTTCTCAGAAAAGCAGCAAGAACAGGCTGCAAAACACACATCAGTGGTGCAAGCATGTAATTCCACCTACTGGGAGGCTGAGGGAGGAGAATCGCTTGAACCCAGGAGGCAGAGGTTGCAGTGAGCCTAGATTGCACCTCTGCTTTCCAGCCTGGATGACAAGAGTGAAACTCCATCCAAAACACACACACACACACACATAAAAACATATATACACACACACACACACACACACACACATTGGGACAGTAAAAAGGAGCTAAGAGCAATCAGTACAAACTTATACAAAAGGAAATATTTGCATGAAGGAACTAAGTTCTGATGAATATGCACCAGCTATAGTCATGGAAGAAATAAATTCTAGTGAATTATAGCACTGGTTAGCAGGTATTTGCTCCCATAAAAGCCACAAGTATATTCAATATGTATCTATAATATGTTCACATTAACTTTGCCTGAGGGAAGCTTCTTTTATCCTGCACAGACACTGTTGATTAAGGGATAGCAAATAGTACATGCGGCCCTTGTTCAGAAAGAGGACTTTGCGCGTGTATCCTCCTCAGGATCATTGTGTACTCCTTATTCCAGTTAGTGGATAAAAGAGCCACAGTATGTTCGTGTGGTTTTATTTTTTTGAAGTTCTTTCAAGTCTAAAGATTAATATGAATCAGACTCCTGAGCTTGCTTGGATTCTAAAAAGTAAAGTATTTTTTAAGTTCCCTGGTATGATTTTTCAACTTTTCAAAACCTTTATTCATTAGCCTCTACAATGTATTTTAAAAATCGATAATATTATTTTTAAATGTCTTTCTGATACATTGCATTCCATGCATTCTTGATGGGAATTGGCAGCAAATAGACAATGGTACAAAGAGGGGAAATTGTTAAGTTTGCATGAATATTGATACCAAATGATTTAATAGTTTTGCAGTGTCAATTTAAATGCATTTTCAAGGGCTGGGTCTAATTCTGTTCCTATGAGAAATGTGCAAATGAGAGTTTAATCATCATTGTACAGTTGAATGAAATATTAATTTCTTTCCAAGTTAGAGATGAAAAAAGTTCCTTGCTGATTATGTTTTTATTTTAATTGGGACATTTCTTCCAAAGAGAAGATTTAAGTAATCATTTATGTTAAACATGTTTCTCACTATCCAGATGTCAGCCTAGTAAATTGTGTGCTGGGCTCCAGCAGACACAGAGACTGAAGAAGAAAACAGAGATTTTGCTTGGGTAAACAGAGATTTTGGTCTTTTATTACAGATAACTATGCTAAAAATCAACAGCAGAAGAAACACCAAGAGGAGGCTATTCCAGCATTAAGAGATATTTCTATTAGTGAAGTAAACCAAATGTTCTTTCTTGCAAACAAAGAACTTTACTCCAAAAACTGAATTGTATGTAACCATACTAATACCAAGAACGTATTTATTTATGAGTGTTTGCCATTATAATTTTGACCGTAAATTAATTTGACCATCTCTCTTATTAATAAAGGAGATGTAAAAAATGTAACTTGACCTTCTCTTAGATTATGTTCAATGAATATTGTAAATGTTCTCAAGTATTGTTAATGAACAGAATAAATACAATATTGCATTACCATATAGCAGACTTTTAAAAAAAAAGTGTCAGTATAATCAAGCAGTTCCTCAGAGAGACATTTATTTTGTAATTTGCAAAGGGCTTTTACAATGTCCTTCCTCCTGTTTGTCCTGAGGGGCCCAGAATTCAAACCCTTAGTTTTGGGGAACGGTACAGTTAGTGTTTATGCCATCAGATTCATGTCTAAGACACAATTATTTGTTGAGTACTCACTGTGCATCAGGTATTTTTCTAGGCACTAGGGATGAAGTAATGGTAAGATTCTCTCTCAAAGAGCTTATATTTTAGAAGCAAGGTGAGGCCAACTAAGCAAATAAACAGAAAATATAATTTGATGAGTGCTATGCAGAGAATTAAGATAATGTCTTCTAGAATGCAAAGGGATGACTAGGTCACTTTGGGTAGTCAAGGAAGGCCTCCCAGAGAGAGAGGCTGTTGGGATCTAAGTATGAAGCAGGTGAGGCAAAGACCATAGGTGAGAAGGAACTTGGTGAGTCCTAAGAACAGAAAGAAGACTGGCATTGGGCATGGAACATACCGAATCAAAGAGAATATGGTCCCAGGTGAGCCGAGAAACTGGGCCCAGATTGTAAAGGGCTTTGTAGGCCAGTGTAGGAAGTGTGGATGAAGTGTAAGTGTGATGAGTTTGAGGTAATTTAGGATCAAGCTGTTGGAGGTCTTGAAGGAGAGGAATGACGTGACCTGATTTCTGGTGTTTAAGTCGTTCTGCGTTCTGACTGGTGAATGGAGAATGGATTCAGAAGGGGAGCTGGGAAGGGGACAAGGGTATGGAAGTAAGATTATTAGGAGGCTCTTGCCTCCAGGCAAGTAATGATTGCTGCTGACACCGGAGTGGGAGTGGAGCTGGGGGAGTGGATGGCTTTCCAGCATTTTGTTGGAGAGGAGGTAGGTAACTGACTGGGTATATGGAT